GAGTCATTTATAGCTAAATGGATGCATATTGAGGCCATACTCTTAAGTGAAATAAATAGGACACACATGTGTAAATACCAAATAGTTTTTCTAGTGTGAGAAACTGATAGTGTAAACAAGGGTTAAAATGATTTAAATGAATAATTGATAATTTGAAATGGGAAAAATGGTCCAAAGATGAAGGGGTTAAGAGAGGGGAAGGGGAAAGGAAAGGAGGGAAAGGAAAAACCATGAGAAAGGATAAAAAAATGGAAATGATGTCTATGTAAATAGGGAAGGGTGGAGGGGGTGAAGGGTGCACAGGTAATGGGGAAAAAAAATAAAAACCAAGATACATCATGTACAGGTACAAACACCCAATGATAAATGTAAACGAATTGTATACCTAAAATGTGCCAATAAAAGAACTTAAAAAAAAATCATCCTTAGATCACAGGCCTTACAAACTCCTTACAAACTAGATTTATAAATTTGCAGGTAATGAACTGGATTTAGCCCATAGATAGTAAGTTATTCACTTCTTATTTATTGAATGCAATTAGAAGTCATTTTACTGTACTAAGCAAATCAATGGAATATAGCAGTGCAGGAAATAGGAAAATATATATATGCAGGAAATAACCAAAAGGTCACAAAATCTCATGGATCTATTCTTAGTTCAAGAGGAGAGTTTGTGGCAGTGACTTCTCCGAAACTCATGAATTACATAGAAGATTTCTGATCTTGGGCACATCATAGCTACATGGCAACAACATGTATGCTGATGAAAAGAATAGAAAACCAGCTCTGTAAAAGCAGAAAGAAGATAACTTAGTTCAAGCAGCTTTCATTGTAAGGCTAAAAGTGAGCATTTCTTTTGTTTCTGTTGAAACAATGAATGGTCACTGAAAGGCATATGCTATAGATTGAATCTGGAATGTATAAAAGATATTGGGAAATGGGAAGAAAATGTTCAAATGGGAAGGGGAATGAGGGAAGGAGAGGGGGGATGAAGGAAGGGAAGAGAAAAAGGGATAGAAGAAAAAATGAAAATAGCTGTTGTAAGGAGGGAAAGAGAGGTTCAAGGGAGGAGAGGGGATTGGGGATAAAAAGAAGAATCAAGATATATTATATACAGGTACACATTCCCTATGATGAATGCGATCACTGTGTAGATCTAAAATGCACCAATGAAATTAACCAAAAAGGTTAAATGATTTTCCCAGTGCCATCCAACAACTTTGTTTAAATGCAGAATGTGAAATGCAGAGTGTGAATCAGATACACACACTCACACACACACACACACAAATATACAGATTTGTGTTAAAGACTTTCCAGAGAAGCCTTTTGAGAAGAAAGTCCCAGAGAATCCTGCTCACTCAGAACTGTGTAGGGAAGCACTACTATCAGAGAAAGCAGAGGCAGATGTGGTTCCAGTGGGCCCAGACAGAGCTTGTTCTCAAGGCAGCCTTTGACACTGTCTCCATAATGCTGTTTTTGCAGGTATGCAGATTGTAAGAGTTATGGAGTCATGAAGACCTTCATCAGATTTCAAAGAAAAGCATGGAGGGCCAGGAAGGTGTGGCATGGTTGGTTTCCCTGTAAGTAGCCCTTGATGAAATGATGCATCAAACTAAGAGAGTGAAGCTGAATATGCAATGGAAACTCCAGACAGTTGGAGATTCCTAGAACATCGAATGCCTTCTAAGGATAGTTGTAGTCAGCATGCAAAGCCACCCCAAGGAGGCCCTGTGGCTACAAACAGTAAAGCTGTAGAGGCAGGAATGCCCAAGGCCTTGAAAGCCCATACCCTAGCCTGGTATGCCCATAATCAACAGGAAAATTAGCACTTAGCGAATGCCCTTCTGGGTTTTGGTTTTGCTTTTGTCCAATCCCTACTTGCTGCTTTCCTATTCCTCCTTTTCGGAATGACAATGCTTACCCTGTGCTATTGTATCTTGGAACTTTAGAACTTTATTTTTACAGGGGCTCATAACTGTTTGCCTTGAATTTTGAAAGGGATTTTGGATTTTGATTTTTGAGAAGGGTGAGGGAATGTTGGAGTGGACTTAACTTTGGAGGCCAAGCTAGCATTTGGATCTGGAATGTCCCCCAAAAGCTCATATGTGTCCCCTAAAAGACCTCAGTTTGGCACTACTAGAAAGTGGTGGAATCTTTAAGAGTTGGTGCCTAATAAAAGATTTTAGATTGTCAAGGGGATGCCCTTGAGGGGATTGTGGGATACTGGTATCTTCCTCTTGCTCTTTTTTCCTACCAACCATGAGGAGAAATGCTTTCCTAGGCCATGCCCTCCTGCTGTGGTGTGATGTGCCCTTCCCCCCACGGCATCCTAAAAGCAATGCTTCTATCAGATTGTGGATTAGAACTGTTAAAACCATGAGACAAACAAAACTTCTTATAAATTGATTATCTCAGGGATTTGATCCAACAGAAGGCTTACAACACTGTACACAAATTACACATTTTATAAATTTTATGTATACAATTTCATGAGTTTTCACTTTGTGGATATTACTTTATAAACACTATTCACTTCAATTATTAGAACATTACCAACAGATCAGAAAGCGCTTCCGTTTAGTCACTATATTCCTTCTCCTCAAATATGGTAATTATCCTTACATAACAACATACATTATTTTTGCTTCTGTTTCTCTTTACTTACATGTAGCTTACTAATTTTCTACTTTAGATAGTTTAGTGTTGAATCGATCTACTGATAGATTATGTTCAGTTATTCCATTTTCCAAGACTAATACTAGACCAGTCTTTTGTTTTGTAGTACTGTTTTTTATGATTATGCCTTTGTAATAAATTTTATTTTGGGGGGAATGAAACACTGCATTTCCCCTCTATTTTATCAAACAAAATAATCAGAATTACTATAAAGTCTATTTCTAAGAGCTGATTTTTAGATTTCATTTTTCTTTCATTTTAATCATTTTATCAATTTTCTTTGTATACCTCATAATTTCTGATTGAATGCCAGATATTTTGTATTAAATATTATAGACATAATCTGAGCTTCTGGATAGTAAT